AGGACAGAAAACATCATAGCAGAATGGTTCATATTGGTCAGTGCTACCTCAAATACAGAATAAGGAACAAACGTCAAAACAGGAAAGTTAAGCAGGTGTTGATTGTAAGGTGAAAGACATGGTTATTTCCATTATTTTGCTGCAAGTACTTCACCCCATGAAATATATTTCTATCTTTGTAAAACAGATCGTCTTAGAGAATAAAAACAGATCAAAAGTATACTGTAATTCTTAACACAAAGACAAAGTTTAGAACTTAATTTTGCAACTTAAGATTGACCAAAAACATGTAAGCTGTTCATACCCTAAAATTACAGGCAGGCCTTCTCTGATCATGACCACATGAATTGCAGTTTGAAAATATAAATTATACACTGATAACATAAGATCAAGTCATCTCAAATCTGTAGGAAAATACAAACAATGACAAATAAGTCATTTCACTACATTCTTTATATATAGTCACCATGCATAAAAAATACATATCTTTCAGGTATTTTTTTTTCTCTGTTATAATTTTAAAGTGCATCTAAAAGCTGCTAAACAAATCTTTGCACTTTAAAAACAGAGGAAGGTGAACAGCAGTTCAGAAATTATAGGGAACTCCTGTTACCAAAGAGGTAAGAAGTTCTAAGTGCTATTCCAATATTCTCAGCTCTTCTAAAGTGGTGGTCATATTTTGGGTGGGCAACATTGGCAAATGCTTACTGGGCCCAATGACTGTACTTCATAGAATCACAAAATCCTGTAGGTTGGAAGGGACCTTACTAGGTCATCTAGTTCCACCTGCTCAAAGCAGGGTCAATATTGGTTGCTCAGGGCTTTGTGCAGGTGGGTCCTGCAAACCTCCCAGGATGGGAACTGCACAACCCCACTGAGCACCTGTCCTGCTGTCTGCCTGAGCTCACGGCGGAAAACCTGGACAATCCACCTAATTAGGGACCTTGAGGAACTCTTCATATAAGTCCATGATTTCCAGTCTTATCAATGTAATTACCAACCAGGCCTCTACCCTTAAACACATACCAAACTAAAATATTGACAGAGTACTAACTAGCATTTTAAAGCTCACTGAGCTAAATGCACTCCTAACAGTAACTTCAGAGGAGTATCGCCTGCATGTGTAAGTGACCAGTTTGAGCTACACTGTGCACAGGCATCCCATAAATAGCTGCCCTCCCTGGGACACAGACACCATTTTCAGAAGTGCTCCCTTCTCAAGGAAACACTTCCCAGAATGGCAGTGGTGCTGCAAGCACCGGCCTGCCCCTGGCCACTCTCAGCCCCCATCAGCAAATACTTTCCTGTAAAGGGGTGTTCTACCTGCAAAGCTCTCAATATCACTCTGTAAAATGACAGTTTCCAAACTATGTGTCAAGCTTTTTACTACTTTTCACAAAATAGCACCCGAACGCTGCCACCATTCTCTCTCCATAAGTATCACAAGTGAGCAGCGCCTGGTGCTGTGGAGCTACAGCTACAAGTCCTTAGCAAGCAGTTCAATTTCATCCAGCAAGAAGTCCATGTCCTCTCGACTAACTTGCGGGCTGATCACCACCTGGCGGAAGAAGTTGACTTTGCCTTGGTGAGGCTGGTACCCAAGCATCATGCTGCCCTTCTTCATCATCCTTTCTTTAATTATAGGAGCAATCTGAAAGTAGAGACAAAAGACACTTGATGTCACACTCAGAAATAAATCAGATTTGAGCAGGAACTGTATTTTGTGACTTAACAAAGTTTTTTTGAAGTGTCTGAGTTTTGCACCCCTTGCCTGCCTTCCCACTGCCTGCCCCAAGAAACACTAAAGCTCAGAACTGCAGGTTTAGAGGCAGACTGTGCATTGAGACCCTCAGGTACTGGGACTCCTGGAAGAATCAGACCAAGATCTAGAACCCTCAAAAGCCTGCTGCTTGGGCCATTCATCCGTGACACAGGAAAGCTTGCGTTAAGGTTCCTAGTCTTCCTGATTTACATCAAAGGTTTGAACTCAGGAGGAACATCAGCTGCAGCTGGCGAAAGGCAGGGTTTCTCTCCTTGCGCTAACTAGGCTAAGCCTGACTACACGCCCTTGATGGCCCTTCTCCCACCACATCTGCAAAGCCGCTCTCACTAAAGGACACTCTCCATTGAGCCCCTGTGAAACTTAAGCTGCCAAAGAACTCAGTGTGATGCGATATTAAGGGAGAAGGCCTGATCCTGGAGCGTAAGATTTCATTTCTTAGACTTAAGGTGTAAGTAGCATTTGGCTACATCACTCTTGTGTCAAAAGAGATGAAATCTCATAGGTGTCTCACTGCAAAAAAACCCTATAAGTAAGACATGGCAGAGTCAGGTCATTATAGCTGAATGGCTGATCTCAGCCCAGCAGGGCTATTAACCTTGTCCAATTAATCTCGTGCTTAACTTTAAGCATGTGAGTAGTTTTGTGGTCTCATGCTTGAAATCGGTCATAAGCTTAAATGCATTGCTGGATTAAATAGTCTATTCCTTGGAAGAATAAATAAGTATTTTGACAGAAGTAGTATTTTTTAAAATGTGTTGCATTTTAACATATTACTAATAACACTAATGTACTTCAGAACAGTGCGTTCCTTTTTTACCTTTTGTGACGCTTTGACTTTGAACCAAGCAAATAGGTATATGACCTAACCTTGGTTTCTGCATTAATTTATTTCAGCTCTAAAATTTAGTGCCAGAAACTACCCCCTGCTCTGCAAAAAAGAAAAATGATGCCGCCAAACTTGCCTTAACAGCTTTATTTTTACATGGCACATTTTAGTAGGCAAGTCCCATACAGTTTGCTTAGATAGAAACAGCTAAGCGTTTTAACACAAACAGCCTAGCTTTCCCATACTGGTCTAGTGGTATATGTCTAAATTACCATTGTTTCAGAATGTAGATTGAATTCAGAGGAGTGTTTATGGTTCTAACTTAATTTTCCTCTCTGATTTTGGTTTATCTTTGTGACAAAGCTACGTGTTTTATCTAGTGTTTGTTTTTTAAGCTGTGAGAGTGACGGAGTCAGAATTCTAATTGAAGTCCAGAGTGTGACATCAGTATGAATTATGCACGTGAAAGCAATTAATATCCTTCCAGAATGCAATGTGCAATCAGAATTTTTAAATTTTTTTTATTTTCATATTGCTGCAAGCAAAAAATTAGAAATAAGGTGTGAAAGTAGCTCTGATAAACATTTGGGAAACAAGATGGTAACAACAAGGACAGGAACGCTCAGAATTACAGCAGAAATGTTAAGAGGCATACTGTGATACCTTCAGTCACATTCAATAGCACCTTTTTCCATAAAATCCATAAAATCTAATGTGGAGCTCCAGGTGTTCCTCCTGCATAAAGATCCTAATGGAAGCTACCAATGAAATCACAATGCTGCGTGTATCTGCAATGCGTACATCATTTAGAAACAGGAGTCATCAAATATATCCCTATACCATCACCCACCTGGGTTTCTATCTGCCTAGGAAATGGTTCAAGAATTCCTCAGTTTTGTTTTATAGCTCAGAGTTACTTCAGACTAACCTCATTTAGTCCATACTCAAGAAAAAAATAAACAAACACTGGTGTTTTGCTTGGATAGAGATGGTAGCTATTTTGCATGAGACAGCCTTCTTCATTCTGCAAAGTATGTTACTCAGCAAACAATCCTCTCTGCTTCAGATCAAATATTCCAAACTGCATCCTAACAAACCGCTGAAGGCAGTTCTGTGCAGTGCTAACACTAGGGCAAAATCTGGGCCTTAGAATCGTTCTTGCGCAATTTGCCAGTGGTGGAGTCAAATGGACAGACTCTTGGTTGGGAACACTCCTGGTTATGCACACTAGTGAATGGACCTGCAACACACGGTCTCTTCAAAAGTGAGTAACTCTGGCATGATAAAATTCTCCTACTTCTAAAGTTTGCATGTGCTGAACCCTTTAACAGCACATGAGGCTATTAAGAGCTCTACTCTTCTGGTTTTGTTTATGCCAGCTATGGGCTGAGATAGCAATGACACTGTGACAAAGCTCGGAAGACCTTGTGCGCCATACACATACAGAAAAGAAAAAATTCCTCCACCCCTGTATTTGACAAGAACCCACAAGTGACTTCTGCTCATGGAATAAAGACACTAGTGCAAGGGGAGAAGCGAATTCTTCTTAATATACTTTCTCAAGCTCTTCTTTAGGATTCAAATCCCTATGGCAACTTTTAGCCTTTATTGATGTTCCATCAGAGTTATTTCATCTTTTGTATCACACTATTGATTCTCTTCATCTCAACACCCAGTGCTCCACAATCCATCATCCCTAAATGTGCAGTAGCAGAAATGGAGACCATGAAAGCAAAAACATTTAGCGCTTCAGTAATTTGAGGACTGTAAATACACTGCATTTCAGTAGGTCTTCTCTCATGGAAAGGAAAGGTAGAAAAATCTCACTTTCATTATCTCATTCATCCTCCATGCTAATGAAGTTGTCCTCTTAATTTGAAGTGCATCCATCCCTTTTTGAAGGCAAAGCAAACACTTCCTACTTGAAAGAAACAAAACAAAACATAAAACTATCTTATGGGCTTTTGACTGGATTCTTTTTCAGAAGATTTTCCATCAAGTATTTTGCATGTTCTATTTGCCAACGTGATGCAGTCGGTGTAACAAAACCATCAGGGATCCTATCCACGGAAAGCAGTAAGGAACAGAATGTATGCACAAATGCTTAAGTACCTGTCTCACAAAAGGACCATCGAATGATACAGGCATGCTAAGGCTTGGACTTGAGGAGCACAGGGAATGACTGCTAACTGAAAGTAAAGGCAGCTACTACTTTGCAGCAGAAAAATTAGACCTATAAGAAACTAATTGCCTAGCGAGGAGTTAAATGAGTTTAATTCCCACTGAAGTCAATGAGACCTGAGGATGCTCAAATATTAGAAAAAGCTGCACAGCCCCATTCAGGATAGGCTCCTCGGAAAGCAATTTAGTGAGAGTGAGATTGCTTCACCAGTCCAATTATTTTACTACGGAACTTACTTCAAATTGTAAATCTAATTCTTTATGTGGCCCGTCGGTGGAACAGTCTCAGAATTTTAAGTGTAATGTATCCTAAAACTGCAGTCATCTTCTCTCCTTTGCTCCCTTCACCTCTTCCTTCCTGCCGCTGGCCTCCCCTGCCAATCCACCCTGGAGATTATTCCAAACGCTCATTTCAGCAGCGTATTAGCTATCAGACATGCCCTTCTTCCACCTAGGAAGGTGGGGAGGAGGTGCGGTGCATGGAAGGCCATCCTGCAGCAGAGCTGTGCACATTGCACTGTGCAACCAGAGGCCCAGGGATCTGCTTCCTTGTTCTACTTGCTTAAATAGAGGACTCAGCACCTACTGGGTTTAATTAGCCTCTTATTTTTCTGCTCTAATGTTGTCTCTGACAATTGCAATTAACAGATATGCTGAAAGAGCAAGAAAGCTCAGGCTGAACAACTGCAGAATAGAGCTTGCTGATAGTGGCAGACTACGTCCAACCTTGCTTATGAATTTCTTTCTCCACGCCCTCCCTTAATCTTTAAGGGATCTCATTTTAGACCTAATCCAGTCAGTTCAAACTGTCCCATCACAAATGATTTTCTATGCCTCTAAGACTGTACCTCTGTTACCTAAATGCTACTTGTACTGCTGTCATTCTCACAGGCTCTAGTTGTATTACTCTAGTCATACCAGATGTTGACATATCGCAACAGCTTTTCCAAACTGTAGGCTACAGGCCATACTCTTTAAAAGCAACATTTTGTAAATTTTGTATTTAAACACTAAGGCAACAGGAATGAGTTGTAAATTGATAACAGTGCTGGGTAAAAATATTCTGCTAAGGAATGAATTTACGAGCGTATTTTGCTTCAGGGGAAAAAAAAAGAAATTGTGAATTTGACAAATAGCCCAAGTGAAAAGATAGCATTAGCCACAAAAATACAGAAACTAGAAGAGCCTAAAGGTTCTCTAAATTTTTAAAGTAAAAGTATTTTGAATATTTGTTTCAAAACACTGTTTTCAATTAAATCTTAAATTAAATTGAAATTGACCCATTTTTCTTGCAGTAAGTAGGAAAGGATTGGGGAAACAGAAACTAAGCAAATTGTTTCATTTTAGCTTGTCTGAAAACAAAAATTCTTTCTGGTCAACTAAAACCAAGAATTGCTTCCAGTTTCTTAATTCAATGGCCAAAGCAAAAAAATCCATTATTTGTACAACCATAAATATGTAGGATCAAAAGTGCTGACACTGCTTAACTGAAACATCCATAGAATTTTTGGCTCCCAGAAAAAACAGAAAGTATGGGAAAATTCACAGGACTGCCTGTTCTGTCGGCAAAAATTTGGCTGGGAATCTCATGTGAACAGCTTCGAGTAGGGTGGATGACTAAACGTGCTAGGCCAGCAAGTGCTACAAAGTCAGAATACCTATAAAAACTGGCATTAATACTGGCAACTACTATCAGAAACATTTTTTTCCAAATCTTTTGGACAGTCCCCAGGTCACTGAGCATCTATGCAACATAAAGCTGAAGAGGTATTTTCCAGCTGCTGGCAGTAGTGACTCCTAGTCACCAGAACCCCATTCTGCTCCTCCTGAAATTCATTTCAAAATTGCCAAAGTCTTCAAT